AATTCTCCTTTTAGTGTTCTGCGAATTCGGCGAACATTTTTCCCAAAGTTCTCGAGTGCCGGATCGGCTTTTATTTTGCGCAATATATCTGCGTATGTGGTTTTACCATTTGCAGAGATTATCATCGCATTAGGCCTGCTTTTGTTTTGGCGCCTACTCTTTTTTCGCCTTACCGTTGACCAGTTAGACGACGATGCGGTATTATCCTCTTTTTGATCAGATTGTGTTGCATCAGTTTTCTCTTCTGTTTCCTCTTCAGTATTTGGAGCTCTTTTCTTCATCTTCTTTGGTTTGGTTTTTGGAGATTCGCCGCTTGGGTCTCTACTCCTCTTTTTACCTTTCTCATTTGATTTCGGAGACTTAGGCAATGTTTGTGTTGTCTCTAGACTAGACTATAGTCTAGTCTATAGTCTAGTCTATAGTCTAGTCTATAGTCTAGTCTATAGTCTAGTCTATAGTCTAGTCTATAGTCTAGTCTATAGTCTAGTCTATAGTCTAGTCTATAGTCTAGTCTATAGTCTAGTCTATAGTCTAGTCTATAGTCTAGTCTATAGTCTAGTCTATAGTCTAGTCTATAGTCTAGTCTATAGTCTAGTCTAGTCTAGTCTATAGTCTAGTCTATAGTCTAGTCTATAGTCTAGTCTATATTCTAGTCTATAGTCTAGTCTATAGTCTAGTCTATAGTCGAGTCTATAGTCTAGTCTATAGTCTAGTCTATAGTCTAGTCTATAGTCTAGTCTATAGTCTAGTCTATAGTCTAGTCTATAGTCTAGTCTATAGTCTAGTCTATAGTCTAGTCTAAGTCTATAGTCTAGTCTATAGTCTAGTCTATAGTCTAGTCTATAGTCTGGTCTATAGTCTAGTCTATAGTCTAGTCTATAGTCTAGTCTATAGTCTAGTCTATAGTCTAGTCTATAGTCTAGTCTATAGTCTAGTCTATAGTCTAGTCTATAGTCTAGTCTATAGTCTAGTCTATAGTCTAGTCTATAGTCTAGTCTATAGTCTAGTCTATAGTCTAGTCTATAGTCTAGTCTAGTCTAGTCTAGTCTAGTCTATAGTCTGGTCTATAGTCCATAATCTAGGCTACAGTCTAGTCTGTATAGTACGATGGTTTATTTAGCCATTTTCTAGAGAATCGTATACGGTCACTTGGAATGATGAAACAAACAAAACTTGATTGAACCGATGAAATTTTTTTAAATGAAAAGAAAAATATTTAGTTGCACAATTTCCTAAAATAATGAAATATTGACAACCGACATACACATATAGTTTACATCAGATAATTTTTAATAAACTGTACAAAAATTAATAATATTCATTAAATTGTGAGCTCACAACATTTCCTAAAACATATTATTAATGGAAATCTTTAAGTTTTCTTAATATCCTATCCACGTTGACATCTTTACTTAACACAAACTTACACTAAATGTCTCATTATAAAATTTCCTGTCTTGCGAAACTCATTAAATGCCAATTTACACAAAATTAAAAACACATTATAAAGTTTCTCATGTGGCATATATTAAACATGATTTAATTACAAAATGTCACCAACGCCACTAACAATCCTCAAAACCCCACTCACACATACACACACCAAAGTAACACCCATAATAACAGCAACCCAAATAAGATTGAAAATATACAGCAGATGCAAAAAACGCAAGGAAGTTAAAAGGCAAAAATAAAGTTTAACAAAGTAAAAATTTTAGCTGCATGTAAGGAGGAAAAAAGTCAAATATCTTTTTTTTTGTAAATAATATTTTTTTTATTATTATCATTAAATAATTTTCATTTAAAACGTAATTATTATTGTAATTTTCATTTAAACTAATTAATTAAAGAAAATATAACAATTATTGATATTTTTACTAAGACTAAAACTATTATTACTACTTTTAAATATGTTGAGCTTTTGTTTATTAAGTTTTTCTTTATATTAAACATAAATAATTTTATTTTGTTTTTAATAATTTAAAAAATTAATAGAATTTTAAAATTAAGAATAACATGATATATTTTTTATTATAAATAATATTTTTATTTTATTTTTAAAAATTTTCTATAATGAAAATATTTACAAATATTCGTGTAATTATAATTCAATATTTTTTCTTAGTTTTATTTTTAAATTCTAAGCGATTTTATTTAGAAATAATTTGACGGATTATGCGTGATGAAATGTTATCTTTTTTTGTTTAAATTTAATATGAAATTTAATTTCATTTTTGGTGATGTGATATTTTTTTAAGAATATGTAGAAGAAAGTTTTTATTAAAAGCACTTTTACAAAGCTTTGGACAATAAGCAAAAGAAAGAAACAGTATTTCAGAAAAATGAAATGTTTGTTTTTTAATTAAATTTTTAAGAGCTTATGGTTTATAATACACAAAAAATTTTTCATATATATTTAAAAGTTATTTTATAAAAATTTTTATTTATTTATTTTGTTTTTAATTATAAAATAATTTCGTATTTAATTATTGCTTTCGGTTAAGTTTTTCTAAACATGCCGTTGCATGTTTATTGTTATTATAGGGGCGAAAATAAAATTGCATTTTTGTAGCATTATTTTAACTGAAGTTCTTTAAACTGAGTTTAACCTGGTATAGCCCAGCAAAAACCTGGCAATGACTTGTTCCTTTAATGACATCTTCATACTTTCTGCATTACTTATAAGTAGTTTAGTAATGATTCTCTTTTAATCGGCTTTGCCGATGTGTTTGCTCGTTTTATTTGATTGCAAGTTAACAGCTTTAAAAGGGAGCGTGGTAAGCACTTTGTTAACTCCCTACTTGTAAGTGAGCATGGTAAGTACTAGCCTTCCAGCTAACATATTTATCACATTCGAGTCATTTATGACTCTTCTGCACGATTAAAATTATCATATGCCCATTTTCTGATCACAAATGATACTTTTGTGGGGAGAAAATGGCTCCTATGCGCGGCTCTTCTAAAAGTATGTTTTATGAGTTCTTCTGATCAGTTCTGACTTAGTTAAGAATCTTTTATAAGTCACTTTTATAAGTCATTTTTATGTGTGTTACGGACAAATACAATAATACAGAAAACAATATGTACTAGCCTCCCTGCTAACATATTTATCACATTCGAGTCATTTATGACTCTTCTGCACGATTAAAATGATCTTATACATGTTCATTTTCTGATCTCAAATGATACTTTCGTCGGTAGAAAATGCCTATCCGCGAGTCTTCTAAAAGTATGTTTTATGAGCCCCTTTTCTGATCAGTTCTGACTTAATTTTTTAATTTCAAATCATATTTTAGTAAATTTTGAGTCCTTTCTGAATCATTTTTATGTTTGTTGCTGACAAATACAATAATACAGAAAACTATTTTTGATCTTCTGACTGCGCGAAATAAATTTATATATAATCATATTTCGAACACCTGGATGGATGATCCCTAAAAGAGTCTTTTATGAGCCTTTTTTCTAATCAGTTTCGACTCATTTTTGTTTAGTAGTTATCATCATTTTTGAGCCATTCTTAAGTGAAATTGTTGTTCCGTTACAAACAAAAACAATTACATAATAAACAATTTTAGATCTTCCAACTACTTGAAATAGGGTCAGAAAATAATTTTAAAACTATTATATTTTTAACATCAGGATGATTAATTTATGATTGTTATATATATTGTTACTGTATTTTTAAATAATCAGTTTTTAATCATATATCGGGATCATTTTCCAATCACTTTTTAAGCGCACAACTTATTAATCACTTTTAGATCAACAAAAGGAGTCTAAAAGTCTCAGTTTACTGATTAATCATCCAACAGTCTTTCAAATGCTAACTGGACCTCTAGTGGCATCTTCGTGGTAAAATAATGAGTTGAATTGCCAATGACTATGTAGTGAAAAGTGGTTTTATTAGTTTTTTTGTTTCAATATTTTTTTTTGCTGGGATGTTTTGGATAAGCTTCAAACTATTTTATAAAATGAACATTTAAATCTTATTCGAATTTAGTTTAAAAAGTTTTTAAATTGCAAATATATGTTTCATGTTGATCTTACCGAATATATTCGAAACTCTCTTTTATAGGAAACTTGCAAAAACATTGTTCTCTAGACTCCAGCAAAAAGTTTCATTACCATGTTAGTAATGCTAAAATTGACTTACACAATAGCATTATAAATAATTATTTTAACAAGGAGATGTCATTGGAGACAAGTACTTACAAAAAACGCTTACAAGTAATTAGAAAAAGTAGTCAATGTAATTGTACGTAAAAACATATACAGCTTCATGGAGCAGATGACTAATGAATTAGAATAGAAAGTCTTTCTATAACACATTACTAATAAGATGTTATTTAACTACTTATATGTAATCAGGACGATATGTAGTAGTTATTGAAAGTTATGTTAATAGGTAAGTAGCTCTGTCTCTGTTTTTCTAATTTTACAAAAATGTTCATTTTCTTAGAAAATGTATTATTTCTCTCGATTTTTTTTTTTTAAATTACTCTCTTATATAGAAATTTTTCAATAATCCCTTAAATGTTTCAAAAAAGAAAAAGCTGGAAAATTGCTAAAGACAATTTTCGGAAAATGTTTTTTTTATATAGAAAATTTTGAAACATTTCTCCACTTTCAAAATACTTTTTTCATGTAATTTTTTTTTTAAAGATAAGAAAAAATATAAAGAAACTTTTGGAAAATAATTTTTAACAATTTTTGAAAATTTCACATCTTTTAGAAAATTGTTTTTTTCCATAGAAAAGTATATTTCTATACAAATAGTTTAAACATATTTTTATTAAAGAAACTTTTGGAATAATTATCTTTCCATCTTGAAAATTATTCTTTTTTGAACAAAAACGTTAATTTTTCTTTTAGAAAATTATCAAAAATTTCACTTTTCTATAAAAAATTATCAAAAAATTCTGTTTTTATATAAATATTTTTAAAATTTCATAGAATATATTTGAAGATTTCTTCTTTAATAGAAAATTTAAAATAGAAGAAATCTAAAATTTCCTCTTCTTATAGGAAATTTTTCCGTTAAGAAAAAACTTTGAATTTTTTATAGAAAATTTGTTTTAATTTCCTTATTTAAAAAAAATTTTGAACATTTTCGAACCATTTCGCTATTTCACCTTTCATGGAACATTTTCGTAAGTTTAAGGAACATTTTTGAAATTTTTTGAAAAATTGCTCAACATAACCCTTTACTGGTCCCATCATAAGATTGATAATGCTTAGAATTATTAGGTATTATAATGTAAATGTCCATCGAAAGAAATGCTGTAAATTTAACTATTTTTAGCTTTTTACTAAAAATTAAGCAGAGAACCTTTTAACCTTTTAAATAGTGGAATTTATTCCAAATAAATGCAACTCTGTTTTATGCCCCTTTATGTGTTACTTTTGTTCAAATTCGGCCGATATGTAATAGGTTTTGAAATTAATACTGTGAAAGCAATTTATAAGATTTGAATATGTATTTCCTTATACTTTTAACTTAATATATTAAAGATTTAATACTCTTAAATTAAATTGTTTATGAAAATTTATTAAACATTTTTTTGAGGAATATTTAACATTCCTTTTGGACTAAGAATTAATTAAAGTACATTTTAAATTAAATAAAATCGAAGCAGTTGAAAAACTAAATTTATTTAAACTTAGCACAATAAATAGTTAAGGAAATACTTTAAAAAATTAAATTAATTTTAGCTTAAAAGTTATTTAAAATATAAAATTTTATTCAAAATTGTCATAAGACTTCTTTAACTTGCCTAATAAGCTGTTATTATATCCCGTTTATTTTAGTAAAATATTGATATCGAAAGTTTATATTCAAAAAATTTAAACTCTGAAAATAAATTGTTCAGAAAACAATTCCAGTTTTTTTCAGCATTTCTGAGCACTTTTACTTTTTATATTATTATCGGAGCCGGAAATTTTTTATGATCTATGTGATATCAAAAACTCATTTTGATCGAAATTGGAGTTGTCATATTTTGAATATAAATTTTCGTTATATTTTAAACTTAAATTAATACCCTTAGTTTTCTTTTGAATAAAATTTTAGAACATTAAAATACAAGGAGCAACTGAACTGATCTTCCGACAACTTCAGCATCATTATCTGAGAATCAATACAGTATACAGTACAGTTATAAGAGTTTTGACAGCTGAAAACTCTTTTCATGATTCTACTCATATATGTATGTTGCCGACTCTAGCTCCTTGGAAATTCTTAAAAAAATATCTCCCACTCCTATTTGGTAGTGTGACGGGCCCATGCCGTTCTCTGAACTTGACTCATAATTTGACTACGATTTGGTACCTTTTCGCTGGTGCTGCGTGTTATGAAACTCGGCGTTGCTGATAATTTTCGTTGATTTGTAACATTACCCGCTTCGTCGGTCACCTTCAGCATGACCGTATTAAAACGGGGCGATGATGAGGTCGAGGGACTTATATCGTTGTTATTGTTATTGTTGTTATTTAAATTTGAAGTGCTGCGCACCATGGAGGTGAGCGGCGATTCTACCGTGGAAGATGATCTGCTGTTTTCACGAGAACCAGAAGCAGCTATATTACCATTCGATATGGCTTTCATTAGTTGTTCATCGAGCGCATTGAGATTTTTCTCCATGCTCATGCGCATTTCATCGGTAATGGGTGAATTGGAATAGGAATTACGATTGAGGGTTCCCATGGGTGAGGGCGTTAGATTACCCATGGAACTGGGGGTACTTAAGAAATTATAGTTGCTACTGGCTGTATTGTTGTTATTGGAAGGACTGCAAGACATGGGATTGACAAAGAAAAAGGAATTGTGTGGTGAAGGAGGGGGTTGTGGTGTACTGCCACCACCATTAGCTATGGCTATTGCTCCCGATGTTGTGGCACCCAAATTTAAGGCTTGCAAACGATTTAACAACTCCTGATTGACATTGAATAAATCCTTTGAAAGAACATCTTGGGCTTGCTGTTGTTGCTGCTGCTGTTGCATAACTGGCGGTGAATTTAATTGCTGCAATTGTGTGGTTATGTTTTGTAATTGATTCATGGAAGGAAACGGGCTAGTCGAAAGAGTATTTGTGGCACTTGTAGCATTTGCTGCAGAAACATTCAAATGTAGCTGAGACTGATGCAAAGATGTGGTAGGAGTTTGCGGTGTTAAAGTATTTCCCTGTCCAGCTCCCGCCGTAGAAACGGGTGTATGTTGTTGCTGCTGCTGTTGTTGGAAATTTTGTAGATTTTGTGTTTGTTGATTGAGGCCACTTAGTTGGTGACTCAGCGAAGTTAACTGCTGATTAATTGAACCCAAATTATTAATCTGCTGATTAATGGTGGCCAAATTATTATTGGCATTTCCAGCTGTGGCTTGTAGCAGCATTTGTAAATGATTCTGTTTGTGTTATACACATGACGTAGGCAGACAGGCAGTTGGTGGTAGTAAAGTAAGGAAAATATATAAAAAAACGTTTTAACGTTGAATTAAATTTTGTTGTAATTTGTACATGAAAATTGTAACATGAACTCAGCCAAGCATTAATGAAAACAACAACAGCAAAATAATAATTAAATAAACTTTTTTCGTTTTTTTTTTTTTAACGCAAAGAGATTATGGCTCTTTTGTGGGTTATTTTGTTATAAAAACTTAAACAATTTCACACATTTTTAACACATTTAATTGAAAAACAACACAAAATTAAAAAAAAAAAAACATAAACACATATAACAACACAGCATTTCTTTCTGTTAAAAAAAGATGCAAATTTATGGAAAATTGCTTAAATGCTAATTCAATAAAAAAAAAAGCCAAACATGCGCATAAAAAATTAAAATTAATTCTCGTGCATAAAATATTAATTTAAATATATACGAAGCAATTAAAATATTTTTAACATTTCATTCAGAGTTTACTTAATTTTTTGTTTTGATTGGATTTTTAAGATTCAATTAAAATGCAATTAAATGATTTGGAATTTTATGAAAATTCAAATAAAAATTCTATAATAAATTCATAAAATCTCTTTAAGAGAATCTGATGCTAAATTAGTTCCTTGAATGGGAGTCTTTAACTTTAACGATATTATAGGATTTCGACTAGTTAAGTGACAAGGGACTATTAGAGTTTAATAAATTACAAAAGATGTTGTGGAGGTCCCTAGAGAGATAAAGTCCGGTAATTGATTCTTTGGGGATAGCAATTCAAATAAAGAGAAAATATAATTTTAACAGGGTGATACCCTAGGAAGTGGTTAATTAAATTAAACATTCATTTAACGATTAATAAACTGGATTTATAAAGTTTTTGGGTTTTTAAAAACTGATCATAAAGTGATCTAATATTCGTTGATCATCAATCTATTAAGCAAATTTTTTAATATGGAAGAAGCTTTCTGTCAACAAGTCAGGGGACAATATAATGTGAGCTAATATAGAAATGGGACTTTATGGACCAATGTATGGACTAGTCTATGAACTAATCTTTAGACTATTGACTAGTTTATTACCTGGTCTATGGAATACTCCATTGACACTTTTGTCTTGCCAATCGACTAGTGCTTTCAGTAGTCTATTAACAAGCCTCTTGACTTTTCATCAGCTATTCTATAAACTATTTTACTGAATTGTCTTTTTACTTGCTTCTGGACTAGTTTCCAGATCTAGGGATAAATCTCTTCACTGATCTATGGAAAAGTCTGTTGACAGGTCTATAAACTATTCTCTTGACTAGTATATGAAGGAGTCACTTGATTGGCCTATGAACTATTGATTAATCTACACCATATTGAATGCTTTACTAACTGGTTTATGGACTAAGTTTACGGACTTTATATATAGCAAAAATTTGTCGTACGAATACTGCGTTATATTATAATTTAAAAAAGTACAACAACACTAAAGTTTCCATCCCTGGTTGTAACATTTTATATGGACTGAATTGAAAAGCTCTCGGATTTAGAAAAATAGGAATAAATAATGGAAATATGAACAGTTACAGCTTTATATGTGAAAACACACCAATATATTCTGAATTATTTCCTATATTCAGAGTTACAATCAAGTAAACTTTAAAACAACAATTAAAAAACTAATAAAGAAACGATACACAATATAAATCTATAAAAATCAAAATCATACTAAACAAAGCTTTAACAAAACGAAAATTAAACATCTATTTAATATTACTAACCTGTGGTGCCATGCCAATATTTGCACTGGTTAAACCGGGAGACTGCTGTTCAGTATATGCTCCCAACGACGCCAAATGTTCTAATAATTCTCGATTTTGTTGTAACAGTTGTTGAGTGCGTGCCTTAAAAAAAGAAAGAAATATATTTAAGCAAAAATTTGTCTCATACTCATGTCAAAGAGCGCTTACCTGAGCTTCAATTCGTGCATTCGTTTCCGATATCAACTGTTCACGGACCAACATTAATTGAGCCAAAGCCTGACGCGTTTGCATGGCCTGCTGCTCTAATTGATCTTTGAGTTTATGAATCTCACGACTGGGCGATGAAGGAGTCGTGGGTGACTTGTCTTCGTCAGTCTGAAAGAAAAAGTTATGATTTTTCAATGGTTAATATATGTTTTATGACAAAGAAAAAGTTACAAGTTATCTTGTTTAGTATTTTTAATTTAAAGAAGTAATTCAGAAAACCTTTCACTAAAAAGTTATGAAAACGAAATTTATTACTTAAATTAAATAACTTATTTTATCTGTTAATAAAAATATGATTTACCACTCTCTCTCTTCTCTCTCAGTAGTAATTTTTTTTAAATTACTTTTAAGTGAAAAAGAAAAGAAAACCATCTCTAATCAAGTCGTTTCATGTAAAGGGAGAGGAGGAATTTGTTGAAGACCGGACTATAGACTACTTGACATATAGCCAATTTTATAGCCTAGTCTATAGTCTAGTCTATAGTCTAGTCTATAGTCTAGTCTATAGTCTAGTGTATAGTATAGTCTAGTCTATAGCATAGTCTAGTCTATAGTCTAGTCTAGTTTATAGTATAGTCTAGTCTAGTCTAGTCCATAGTATAGTCTAGTCTATAGTATAGTCTAGCCTAAAGCATAGTCTAGTCTATAGTATAGTCTAGCCTAAAGTATAGTCTAGTCTATAGTATAGTCTAGCCTAAAGTATAGTCTAGTCTATAGTCTAGTCTATAGTCTAATCTATAGTATAGTCTAGTCTATAGTCTAATCTATAGTCTAATGTATAGCCTAGTCTATATGTAGTCTAATCTATAGTCTAGTCTAGTCTAGTCTAGTCTAGTCTAGTCTAGTCTAGTCTAGTCTAGTCTAGTCTAGTCTAGTCTAGTCTAGTCTAGTCTAGTCTAGTCTAGTCTAGTCTAGTCTAGTCTAGTCTAGTCTAGTCTAGTCTAGTCTAGTCTAGTCTAGTCTAGTCTAGTCTAGTCTAGTCTAGTCTAGTCTAGTCTAGTCTAGTCTAGTCTAGTCTAGTCTAGTCTAGTCTAGTCTAGTCTATAGTCTAGTCTAGTCTAGTCTAGTCTAGTCTAGTCTAGTCTAGTCTAGTCTAGTCTAGTCTAGTCTAGTCTAGTCTAGTCTAGTCTAGTCTAGTCTAGTATAGTCTAGTCTACTCTACTCTAGTCTAATCTAATCTAATCTAATCTAATCTAGTCTAGTCTAGTCTAGTCTATAGTCTAGTCTATAGTCTAGTCTAGTCTAGTATAGTCTAGTCTAGTCTAGTCTAGTCTAGTCTAGTCTAGTCTAGTCTAGTCTAGTCTAGTCTAGTCTAGTCCAGTCTAGTCTATAGTATAGTCTAAGTATAGTCTAATCTATAGTCTAGTCTATAGTCTAGTCTAGTCTATAGTCTTGTCTATAGTCTAGTCTATAGTCTAGTCTAATAGTCTAGTCTATATTCTAGTCTATAGTCTAGTCTATAATCTAATCTATAGTCTAATCTATAGTCTAATCTATAGTCTAGTCTAGTCTATAGTCTAATCTATAGTCTAGTCTATAGTCTAGTCTAGTCTATAGTCTTCTCTATAGACTAGTCTATAGTCTAGTCTATAGTCTAGTCTATAGTCTAGTCTATAGTCTAGTCTATAGTCTAGTCTATAGTCTAGTCTATAGTCTAGTCTATAGTCTAGTCTATAGTCTAGTCTATAGTCTAGTCTATAGTCTAGTCTATAGTCTAGTCTATAGTCTAATCTATAGTCTAGTCTATAGTCTAGTCTATAGTCTAGTCTAGTCTATAGACTGGTCTATAGTCTAGTCTATAGTCTAGTCTATAGTCTAGTCTATAGTCTAGCCTATAGTCTAGTCTATAGTTTAGTCTATAGTCTGGTCTATAGTCTAGTCTATAGTTAGTTAGTTAGTTAGTTTGAAAGGAGGATGTATATACATCAAATCCGAAGAAATACACCTAGGCCACTATCGGGCCTGTTGTGCGCTCCTTAACCAGTGCCTCAGGTGGGAATCGAACCCACCACCTCCGGTCTACCAGTCTAGAACACTAACCACTAACCTACCGGAGGCCACTATAGTCTAGTCTATAGTCTAGTCTATAGTCTAGTCTATAGTCTAGTCTATAGTCTAGTCTATAGTCTAGTCTATAGTCTAGTCTATAGTCTAGTCTATAGTCTAGTCTATAGTCTAGTCTATAGTCTAGTCTATAGTCTAGTCTATAGTCTAGTCTATAGTCTAATCTATAGTCTAGTCTATAGTCTAATCTATAGTCTAGTCTATAGTCTAGTCTATAGTCTAGTCTATAGACTGGTCTATAGTCTAGTCTATAGTCTAGTCTAGTCTAGTCTATAGTCTAGTCTATAGTCTAGTCTATAGTCTAGTCTATAGTCTAGTCTATAGTCTAGTCTATAGTCTAGTCTATAGTCTAGTCTATAGTCTAGTCTATAGTCTAGTCTATAGTCTAGTCTATAGTCTAGTCTATAGTCTAGTCTATAGTCTAGTCTATAGTCTAGTCTATAGTCTAGTCTATAGTCTAGTCTATAGTCTAGTCTATAGTCTAGTCTATAGTCTAGTCTAGTCTAGTCTAGTCTAGTCTAGTCTAGTCTATAGTCTAGTCTAGTCTAGTCTAGTCTAGTCTAGTCTAGTCTAGTCTAGTCTAGTCTAGTCTAGTCTAGTCTAGTCTAGTCTAGTCTAGTCTAGTCTAGTCTAGTCTAGTCTAGTCTAGTCTAGTCTAGTCTAGTCTAGTCTATAGTCTAGTCTAGTCTATAGTCTAGTCTAGTCTAGTCTATAGTCTAGTCTAGTCTATAGTCTAGTCTAGTCTATAGTCTAGTCTATAGTCTAGTCTATAGTCTAGTCTTAGTCTAGTATATAGTCTAGTCTATAGTCTAGTATATAGTCTAGTCTAGTCTAGTATAGTCTAGTTTATAGTCTAGTCTATAGTCTAGTATATAGTCTAGTCTATAGTCTAGTATATAGTCTAGTCTATAGTCTAGTCTATAGTCTAGTCTATAGTCTAGTCTATAGTCTAGTCTATATTCCAGTCTATGGTTAGTCTTTGGTTTGAAATAAAGTTTTGTGTATATTTTCGACAACAGACTAGTTCATATTCTGAACTTTAATCCAGTCTACAGTCATAACTCAGAAATAATACAAAAATAATTTAAGCTTTAATAAAGTAAGCTTTAAGAAATTATTCACGGAATTAAAGTTCAAGTGATGAGTTTTAAGAATTTATTTTACAAAAAAATATTTTTGTTGTAAAAAAGAATTTATGCCATAATTTTTGATAAATATTTCGAAGATAATTTTACTTTGATCTCGATACAAAAAATATTTTCCTAAACAAAATTCCAATTTTTCCACCTTGCACCAATTTAATTATGAAAAACGCATAAATTTGCAAAAAAAAAAATAGTTTCTGTTTAATATTAATTGGCAAAATTATTAGTTTAAAAAAATCTATATAATTTCTGTATTTCTATCAATCAACAGCGCCACGCGAATTATTTAAAACTTACAACAGAAATTGTTAATTTAAAACTGTTTAGATTTAAAATAAAACATTTAAATCAAATTTTTGGATATTGTTTGTTTTGTGATTGTAAAAAAAATTGAATATTAATTAATAATTTTTTTTTTTTGCAAATACAAGCACACAAATCTAATTAAAACACAATTTTCTTAACACATCATAATCACATGAAATGAAAACCAAATTGTTTTCAATTTATAATAAAATTTCATATTTTATATTTAGTTTTTTTGTTTTCTTCCAGCTTTTTGTTTGGTTTTCTATAAATTATAACACATGTCATCGTATTTTATAGAGAAAAAACATCTATAATAACAAACCGCAAGACGCCAGTAGTGCAAATTGTGTTTAGCTGAACATTTAAAGAGGTGAAATGGGGAAAAACGAGCGATACACATATAAATCGTTTTGTTGATTTTTTGTTATTTAAATTATAAATATAAGATTTTTATCGACTGGGTTGTTAAAATTCAATTAACAATTAGTATATTATAGATATATTTTTAATCAACGCCTTTATAAATAAAGAGTTTTTTTTTAATAAAAAACAAACATTTCAATTGTATATTAATTAATTATGATTATTTCTGCGTTTTATTTAAAAATGATTGCCATTTTTTTGCAATTTCATGTTTTAAGGCACCCTAAAGTATGCTTTAGAGAACATTTACAAAATAAATTGTTAAGAAATGTAATTAAAGTTCTTTAAAAAAATCAAAAAAATATTAATTTATTCAAAGAATTTGGAAATATGAAACAAAATAATTAAATTTAAATCCCTTAAAAGAAAAATAGGTAAGGCCACCTAAAAGTATGTTAACAATTAATTATCTAGGCAAAATATTTTAGCAAGTTATCGTAAAGTAAATCATTGGAAATTAACTTAAGATGTTATCACATACGAAATTGATCTCCATTCTTTCGTCTAGTCTATAGTCTAGTCTATAGCCTAATCTATAGTCTAGTCTATAGTCTAGTCTATAGTCTAGTCTATAATCTAGTCTATAGTCTAGTCTATAGTCTAGTCTATAGTCTAGTCTATAGTCTAGTCTATAGTCTAGTCTATAGTCTAGTCTATAGTCTAGTCTATAGTCTAGTCTATATTCTAGTCTATAGTCTAGTCTATAGTCTAGTCTATAGTCTAGTCTATAGTCTAGTCTATAGTCTAGTCTATAGTCTAGTCTATAGTCTAGTCTATAGTCTAGTCTATAGTCTAGTCTATAGTCTAGTCTATAGTCTAGTCTATAGTCTAGTCTATAGTCTATAGTCAAGTCTATAGTCTAGTCTATAGTCTAGTCTATAGTCTAGTCTATAGTCTAGACTATAGACTTGACTATAGTCTAGACTATAGCATAGTCTATAGTCTAGACTATAGCGTAGTCTATAGTCTAGTCTATAGTCTAGTCTATGGTCTAGTCTATAGTCTAGTCTATGGTCTATAGGAAATTAACTTAAGATGTTATCACATATGAAATTGTTGTATTTAACTTTCGTAGCTCATCTCTAATTCGTTTTCTAACCAAAAACCAAACAATTTTCTATTGTTTTCCTTTCTTTGATAAAGAAAACAATTTAAATTTTGTTTTCTTTTCAAAACAAAAGTTATTTTGTGTATTTTTTTTTTTGGTAGTCGCTGCTATTTTCGTTTTGTATTTATTATTTTTATAGTAATTTTACCTTTTTGGCTCAGGTGTTTGTTTATCATTTCCATCATAATATATTTTTAGATTTTCTTTTGCGATTTCTTAATAAACATCTAAATCTAATCAAATAATAGCTATGTGCGTATTTTTTTCTTGCATTCTCTTGATTATTTGCACATTTTTAGACTTCAAAGTATAAAGTTCAGTGTGGTTAATTGAAATTATTTCATTATTCATAACTGTTTATGTTTAATTAATGTAGAATTTCAAAAATATTAAATGAAACATTGAATGGAAAAGCCTCTATGACAAATATTTTAACACCTCCCCAATCATTTTGTATATACCATCTCATATGTGAAAGATTTATTAGTGCCGAGAACCGGAACAGTTATTTAGTAAAATAAGATAAGGGCCGACTGTAGGTTCCTGTCTAGTCCCTATTTGCCTACTGGTGGGACTAAAATAAGGAAACAATAAAAAACAACAAAATAAAAAAAATTAAATTGGTTCCTCATCAAATGGCGACATACTAGCTTCTATATAAGATACTTTGGTCTATCTATTAGGTAGCAAGAGTAATAGATATCGAACTATATTATAATCCAAAAATACTTCAAATACCCCTACCCAATTAGATGACAAGCATGTGACCTGTCTGATAAGGTTGCTAAAAATCTTGAAAATTATACTGCCATGAGGAAGAGTGCGTCATATATCAAGCTGTTAACGAAATCGCTATCAGGTATATGAGAAAGGTAGCAGAAACAAGTAAGAGTGCTATATTCGGCCGTGTCGAATCTTATATACCCACCATCAAATCATGTGCTATAAATTTCAAGTGAAATTCGGAAATTGGCCTCATACTATATGAATAGTGATTTGTTCCCACCATTTGCTCAATTAGATTTATTTAAATTTTTATCGCTTATAAACAGTTTATTAAAGTCAGGGTCATAGTAGTACTTATTTTATCATAATACATATTTTTAATGATTTATAGAGTAATGTATATTTACAGTAATGCTAAATTTTAGACCAATCCTATTAAAATTTTGTAAAAATTTTGGTTTCAATAAGACTTTTTATGTCGAATATCAATGCTTTCTAAGCCTTATATGAAGGCTTTGATTGAATATGGCCCGATCTTCATAATATTTGACAGAGGACCATATATAGGGATTAAGGAAAATTATGGACCGATCCTCAAAAAATTTGACAGGGAATTATGTTTCCCTAAAACTTTTTATGTCGAATTTCGTTGCTATACTAGTAATTTTCTGAAGGGACCTTATAAGAGGTAATATTTAGCAGAGATTTTTTAGTTCCTATAAAACATGTTTACGCCAATTTCGTTGATATAAGTACTAGAATTAGAAGGTCAATTATGGACCGATCCGCATAAAATTTAGCGGAGAGATTTGAGTTTCTATAACACTCGTATATGTCGATTTCTTATACTGACAAATAATGAGCGTTAGAGTAATTTTCTGAAGGGACCTTATATGGGGGTAGGGTCAATTATGGACCGATCCCAATAATATTTATCAGAGAAACTCAAGATCTCCTAAAACATATGTATGTCAAATTTCGTTGCTTTACTATAATTTTGAAGCAAGTTATGAGCGTTATAGTCAGTTTCTGAGTGGTCCTTAAATGGGGAGTAAGGTCTATTATGAACCGATCCTCATAAAATTTGGTAGAGAGAATGTGGTTCATATAAAACTTGTTCATATCATTGCTAAAATAGTGTTTTAAACCAGTTATGGCCCTTTAAGCTGCCTATACGAAAACATAGACCGACATCGCCCATTTTCAAACTGCAACGATACAGAATATCGCTCGGAATCTATAGTGTTTTCAACCGACAGACGGAAAGACAGACAAACGGACATGGCTAAAACATCTTAGAATTTAATGAGGACCCAATATATATATACACTTTTGTGGGTCTTCGACCAATATTTCGATGTGTTGCAAACAGTATGACAAAACCATATTTTTTGATGGTGGGTATAAAAACAATTCCAAGATCCTCAGCACGTACGATCACCCGTTAACGCGAAAGTATAAAATCACTTGGAGCAACAAAATGGGACAAGTGAAAAATCACTTGTAGAAATAGAATGGAATCCCATCGAATACATATTAGCTGATCTTGTTATAGAATACTTGCTCGCAAAATAGGACAGTATGACACTGGTGAGATTTATCGGGCATACAGGGTAATAAAATGTCTTGATTAGATCTCAAAGTACTTTCTCAGCAAGTTTATCGTTAAGATCAGCGATGCATGGGATGTTTTAAGTCTCAATTTTATCCTCGCTAAAGAATATCAAGATCACAACGGCATATTAGATGAGATACAATATAATACATAGTAACACAGATAACAAAATTCTGAGTTAAACATATGCCGGCCTGTATAATAGCTCGGCTAAAATAGGCACTTAAAACTAAAGCTAAAATATTTTTTCTTTTTTTAAGAATATTCATTCCTTTTTTTTAGAAAAACATACTTATTCAACACTTTTTCTTCCCTTTTTTTATACCCTACACCACTTTAGTGGGGACGGCATATTGGGTTTGTGCTGATGTTTGTAACGCACAATAATACCCATCTTAAAGTATACCAATCGGCATAGAATCATTTTCGATTTAGCTATGTCCGTCCGTCTGTGCGTCCACTTGTCCGTCCGTCCGTACATGTAAACCTTGTAATCAATCTACAGGATGCAATTTTGAAGATAATTTAGTGAAATTAGACACATGATCTTCTATTTTCACAGGGACGAAGCCTATTGAAAATCGTTAAGATCGGTCCATTATTTCACCTAGCCCCCATACAACTGAACGCTCGAAACCCTGTAATCAAACTACAGGTCGCAATTTTGATGATAATTCAATGAAATTTGGCACATGATCTTCTATGGGACTGGAAACAAAGCTTATTAAAAATGGTTAATATCGGTCCATTATTTCACCTAGCCTCCATACAACTGAACCCGCCAAATAGGGCTCTTAAGTTCATAATTATGTTTATGTTTTACTCGTATCTCGACAAAAAGCTGCAAAACCAAGATCTATACTACCCTTGAAGACCCTCATGAATTTTATAATTATAGAGTCTCATTTGATCATAGCCCCTATACAAAGCCCCCTTCAAAATTTCACTTAAATGTTCACAATTTTATACAACAATAAATGGCTTAAGTATATCTGAGGCAAGGTACAATTCAATTTAAATGCTTTATTATGAAAACTAAATCACATTCCATAAGTGTAGGGTGTTATATGGTCGGCTTCGCCCGACTATAATTTCTTACTTGTTTACTTTCTATTTCTGGTTTCGAAACTTTTTAAATTTGTTTAGGTGTGAATGGTGTATGAAATATATTGCTAGTATTGTTTATATATGTATATAAAAGTATTTCAAAAACTTACCATAAAACTTCCCGATTTACTAAGATTTGTTTGAGGCACTAATTCCAAATGATTAGGCCTTTGGGGTAAATTTAATTCTGGTGTATGAGCTGCAATTAAAAAAAAATAAAAAGTTTACATTAAAAACTAAATTCAAAATTATTATTTTAAATAAAATTAATTTAAAAAATAAATCTGGTAACATTGGTACCCCACATTAATTCAACACAGATGTTTCTTTCAATCTTTATGGAAATTTTAACAAAAAACCAGAAAGAAACAAATTAATTTCAATAACCAACCGTTCGTGTGTCTGTCTGTCTGTCTATTTATTATACTATGCTAAAGAACAATGATGATGTAGTTGATCGTGCTGTGATCATGATGACAATGACGACAACGATGATGAGTGAAATAATAATGATATTTTTTTGTAAATGCTTTGTTTAATAATTTTTGGTGAATATTTTCTTTTTTGTGTTTTTTTTCATAAAAATTGTCGTCTACTAATGCCAATGGCTTATTTATTAAAAAAAAAACGTTTTTTCTATAGATTTCTAGTTTAACTATCAATTTTGTGTTAAAATATGTTTTTCATTATTTTGTTTTTAATAATTTCTCTGTGTGGGTCTATTTACAGAAAAATACAAATAGTTTTTGTAAAAGTGACGATGTTAGCTGATGTCTTTGATTGAAAACTGTTGTGTTTTTCTATATTTTTTTATTTTATTCTTTTATTTTTTACGTGTTTACGCTGCTGTTGCTGTAATATATATTTTCATTTTCTTTTTCAAAGTTTTACAGAAAAACCACAAAGAAACATGACGTCAAGAACTACCTTGTTCTCGAAATATGAAAGCAATTTTCTTTTTTGGTTGAAATATTTTTGTAAAAAAAAAATGTATTGCTTAATCGTTGTTTTATAAATTATTAATTTAATAAATTGTATTAGAATGAAATTTATTTTTCAGTATTTTTTTTTAATAATTGGTATAATTTATATTGTGTTGAAAATGAAATAAATGGTATGAGTTGAAATTAATTTGAAGCTAATGATGTCTTAGGTTAAGAATATAAGGGGATTGTTTGAAAACCTTCGATGATATTTGCAAGAGGGTCTCTTGCGTGAATCGAACCTGCATCTATATATATCAAAATAAATTTTTATCAATATTTTAGTTTAAAAAAATGTATAAAGAACTAATTTTATTTTCAATTAAATTTTAACGAAATTTTGTCTAATGTGAAGGTTATTTCTTTTTAATGTTGTCCCTGACTTACTGCAATTCAAATGCATGACATTTCTTAGATGTTATTGTTGTTGTTATCAGTCTCTTGAAAAATGTTCAAATAAACATGTATTTTCACATACAAATTAACCTTGAAACCAAATTTGAAAATAGTTTTTATTACTTAAAAAAAAAGAAACTAAAATAAAAATTAAACAATTAAAATTTTAATAAAAATTAATAAAAAACAAACAAATATTACAATTAAAAAAAAAACACACCAACAAAAAGTGACGTCAACTTGTTAAGAAAATAAATAATAAATATTAATGGAAAATAAAATACTAAACAAAATGATAGAAACCATATAACCAGGAATATGTCAAGGCTTACAAAATATTGAAAGTGTAAATGATAACATTACAGCCCTAAGAGAAAAACAACAATAATAACAAAATAAATAAACAAAATAATAAATTTAAAAAAAAATCAATAAATGTTTAATGAAAACAACTTAACAGCACTTTTTTAATTTGTTTATAAAACTATTTTCTAACAAAAATCAGGCTAAAAATATTCAAGTCAAAACATTAATATTATAAACTAATAATAAAAGAAAAACAAGCAACAGTATTAATACAAAAATACAAATTTAGAGAAAAAAAAAAACACAAAAACTTACAAGGTGTAATAACATTATAACCTTGATTACAATTTTAAAACATAAACACATATAATTACAAAAAAATTTCAACAAATTAAACAAACACACGCACACAATTTATAATATCATGACGATTAGCCTTTAATAAATTAAAATTACAATTTGATTTTTTCAAAATTAAAACCTTAACATTGAAATTATTTATTGTTGTATCGATGTGGTACAAGTACTATTATTATTTAATTTATTTAAAAAAATACTAAAAGCTTATTTAACAATTTTTTGTTATAATTTTTAAACAAAAATGTTAAGAAAATATTCAAATTTCCAGCTCGTATACAATTTTTTTTTAATTGTTAGAAATGCAATTGATTTGTTAATTTTATATTGTAATCGTTTTTTTCTTTGTTATTCTATTTTTCTCACCATTTGTGTATAATTTCATTTTAATGGTGGAAATATTGTCGATGCAAGTAATAAAATCTAAACAAACATCACAACAAAAATTTGTTTTTGAAAGAATTTTATAGTGTTAAATGTTAATGGATTTTATTTATTATATGGCATAAAAAGATTAGTCATTATGAAATTATATAATATTTAAATTATTATTGGTTTTCTAGCTTAAAATTAAAATGTACTTAAGTTTAAAATAAACGTATACTTAATAAATAATTAGTGTGCATCACTCATACGCACTGTAGGGGAAATATGTGAGTAACTGTAATTTCTAAATACTTTGTTTTATTTAATTAATAACTCAAATTTATGTTTTCGATAAGTTTGAAATATATCTACAGATTGTTTTTGTTTTTTTTTGTCATTTCACTTAAATTTTAAACAAAATAAATCTAGAATACCATAAAAATATTTTTTGGCCACATTTTTAGTTTTAGTCAAAAAAAGTGGTCATCTGAACCATAGTGCAAAGATAGAACTATTGGATAGTACTTTAGACACACTCTAAGTTACAGTGGATCAAAATGTTTTGCCAAATATGTGTTTCTTCTCATCTATGTAACTTATTATTATATAACTTATTGTTGCAAAGAGTTTAGATAGCTATGGACCGTAATTTTTCAAAATTATTGTTTTAACTGTCTTTCAAAGAAAGCCTAGATCTTTTCCTTTAAAACATTTTGGTTGCTTAATGAGATTGTCATGAAATCCCCCGATATAGATTTAGTTTAAACATGTACACAGAGGGAAAAAATATGTT